AATATATATATATATATATATATATATATATATATATATATATGGATGCCGTCGATTGTGATGTGACGTCGGACAGTCGTTGTAATGTCGTACGTGATTCAATTTTTATAAATAAGAGTTTTATTGGGTTATTTTACTTAATTATTTATTTATTTATTTCGGGTTTACATGATCTAGAAATCTCTCGCCATGTAGTTACTGTAGTCTGTAGTTTTCATATTCGAGAAATTTTGTTGTCTTCGGTAGATTTCTCGGTCATATATTATATATGGTATGAGAAATGGTGGGTTAATTAAAAGATCGTTGAATCGTAATATTTGTCATGTTTGATGGCTTCGTGTCAGGAAAATTCGTAAGTTTCTTACCAAGTTGCTCTCTTTTGTACTTTATGGTCCACGATACTTATATATATATATATATATAAGATATTGAAAATTAGCATGGTGTATATATAAGTGTTACCCTACAAGGAATTAAATAAATTTAAATTTTATCTGTTGAAAGAGTTGATGGCATTTTTAAACATTAGTTGAGAAATAGCATTTTAGTTGGTGTAAGATCAAATCGAATTGAATATAAAAAAATGTAAAAACTAAATATCATTTAAAGATGTAATTTTTATAAAACCAAAACAGATAGTATTAAAAATAACTAAAGCAGAACATGATGAACCTGCAGCCAACGTTAAACCCTAGTTTTAGAGAGTTATTGGTAACAAATATCGTTTACTTTCTAACCCAGATACCTACACTGATCGAATCGAATGATACTATATTCTGTAAACATCCGAATTTACACATATTAAAGATTGGTATTTGTACAATTCAGAATGGACCCACCGGTACCCAAAATAAAATCTGAATGATTGGTTTGTGTGTCCATTTACTATAATTGATCGCACATATATCTTGTCATATATATATATATATTGGATAATCGAATGTTTTGTATCGAGGATCAGACTAATCTAAGAGTTTGAGAAAAAACTATGCGATTAGAAGATATGTTCATCTTTCCAACTTGAAACTCGAAAGTCGGAACGAAATAGACGTTTTGCATCTCTTTTTATCGGTTAAACTAATCAAGTTGGATTATTATCATGTATATTTTTCATGAGTTTGGATTTGGTTAAGATTTTGGGGTTTGGAATTAATTATTACGAGCATCTGAATGGTGAATTGTTAAAACCCAAATTCGATATCCAAAAATGAAAAACTCAAAATCCAATCGCTCTCCAATTTTGTCCAAAGGTTATAACCAATTTGACATGGCCCCTCAATAATAGAGCATTTATTGAATTGGATCATTATCATAATTGTATCCATAGCCGTCGCAGCGTTAATTCGCGCTGATTCAATGTCCTAAAACAACTACTAAACTTTTGGTATGTTATATAACTAATTTTTTTTCTTATGTTATATATTATATTATATTATATTATGTTATATAACTAATTAATTTGTCGTGTATAATATTTCATGAAAAACAAAACGCATTATGGTCCTTTTTTTTTAACACATCATGATACTGGAAGTATAACGAATTACTTCATCGTATAAAAGATTAAAAAAAAAAAGACAACATAAATGCTTGAAAAGGACCGGAAAAAAAAATCAAAAGTCAAAATAATCGGTCAGGGCAAAATGGTTTGACCGCGGCGATCTGTACGTAGTTTCCCACAAGCTTCTCTGTCTTGTCATAGGGGATGAATTGCATGACTCTCCATTGGTAGGTTCTATGTATATATACAAGCGAAAAAAATCCATTTCTTCCAAAGAGCAATCTTTAAAGGAGAGATAGTGAGAGAGACATTTTCTTCTTTAAGCTGTTTGTTTCTCGGGAAAACCCAATAAGTGGATTGAACTGTACGGTTCTTTTTTCTTGGGAAAGTGAAAAAAAAAACCTTGTTTTGGTTCCCGAGAAAGTGAAGACCTTTGCCACCAGATCGGCGTTTTCTCCTACTGTTTCGGAAGAAAATGAGGTCAAGTAATTCGGGTAGCGAAGACCATCATCATCACGAGCTGGGGATTCTCAGAGGAGCTTATTCCGACACCAACTCCGACGCCGACAGCATCACCAGCGACCGAAGCGCGTTCAGCGGTCCACTCGGTCGCGGCGGTGCCAAACGCGCGTCCAAGAAGAACGCTAGATTCGCTCCCGACCTTCCAAAGAAGAGCCAAAGCGGCAGCAGTCGCGGTGGCGGTAGCAGCGTTATGGACGATGAGTTCGTTGAGATCACTCTCGACATCCGCGAAGACGCTGTCGCGGTTCACAGCGTTCAAAACGCGGCGATTGGGGGCGACGTTGAGGACCCCGAGCTCGCGTTTCTGACGAAGCGGAAACTCGAGACGAGCCTCAACAAATCGTCGTCGGTCGGTTTCCTCGGGAGCACTTCCTCTCGCATCAAGAGCGCGTCGCGTGAGCTGCTCAGCGTTTTCTCCAAACGCTCAAACGCGGGTCGGCGTTTCGACCGGAATAGATCCGCGGCGTTTCATGCCCTCAAGGGTCTGAAGTTCATCGCCACCAAGACCGCCACGTGGCCGGCCATTGAGAAACGATTCGATGAGCTCGCCGCCCCAACCAATGGCCTCCTCCCCTCGTCCTTGTTCTGGGATTGCATTGGTAATAAACTTAAAACATTACTACTAATTTTCGATTTTAGAAAAAACTGTATATAATCATTTTTTATTTGGTTTCAATTCATTTTTCCCTTAAAAAAAACGGTATCCACGATATTTTTCTTATCGAATTCCATTCGATAAAACAAAATCCGAATAGTAGACTAAAATATATTTAGTTATTTACAAATTTTGTATAATATTTGATTAAACTAGTATTGATGTTCTTGGAGGGTGTGTTTAATAGGGTTGAACAAGGAGTCCAAGGACTTCGCCGATCAACTTTTCCGGGCACTTTCTCGCCGGAATAATGTCTCCGGCGATGCAATCAACAAGGAACAGCTCAGGGTCTTTTGGGAACAAATCTCAGACGAGAGCTTCGATTCAAGACTCCAAGTCTTCTTCGACATGTAAATTCTCTTCATGACCTTCACCTAACATATACATAGATCTGCACGTATGTTATTATATGACCCTACATGTAGCACGTGTTACTTGTGTGCGAACGTGTAAGTAATAAATTTATTATAATTTCTTAGGGATAAATTTATATTTACTAGGAGTACTTAATAATTTTATTTAAAATTTTATAAAGAAATTATTATTATTTTTTATTTAGGAATGGGGCAGGGTGTCATTGTGAATGAACTGAGCCCGTCCGCCCATGCATGCATTTGTATATACGTATTTAGGTGCAAGTATTTAATACTTAAATTAAATGCATATAAAGTTGCTTCCATCATCAATTTTGGCTTAAATCGTAGCATATTATATATATATATATATATATAACACACCTAACGCAAAGGAAACTAACGAGTGACGTCATAATGTGGTCAGGGTGGACAAAGACGCCGACGGGAGGATAACGGAAGAAGAAGTCGAGGAGGTGAGAAATCGCTCGCTCCCCTTTAATTACTTTTTTACTTTTTGTAACAATTTTGTCGCAGTTATATATTATAAATACGCATATATTATATTGCATTATGGTTTCTTTGACTTTTCTACTAAAGTGAACCAATCGAAAATCGAAAATCGAAAATTTTTCTAACAATAAGTATTTTTACAAAAAATAAAAACTGAAAACCAGCAACCAATAATAAAAAAAAAAATCAAATACATATAATGTTTTATTACAGATTATTAGTATAATTAACTGAAAAAATAAAAGCAATTAATTTTTTTTTGTGCGAATTGATTACAGATTATTAGCCTAAGTGCTTCAGCAAACAAGCTTTCCAACATCCAGAAGCAAGCCAAAGAGTATGCAGCTTTAATAATGGAGGAGCTTGACCCTGAAGACGCTGGTTACATAATGGTACGTACGTTCCCATTTTTCACCATTAGTACTTGTTTATACGATAAGTTACATCCATTGATGCTGAAGCTAAAGCTCGATTGAATATATGAATCAAATCAGATCGAGAACTTGGAGACACTTCTACTGCAAGCACCGAACGAGTCGGTCCGAGTCAGTGACAGCAGAGTACTGAGCCAGATGCTGAGTCAGAAGCTCAAACCAACAAAACAGAGCAACCCTCTTGCGAGGTTGTCGGAAAAGATCAAGTACTTCTTGTTGGATAACTGGCAAAGGGTTTGGATCTTGATGCTGTGGCTCGGTATCTGTGGAGGCCTCTTCGCTTACAAATTCGTTCAATACCGAAACAAAGCGGCGTACGACGTCATGGGATACTGCGTTTGCGTAGCCAAAGGCGGAGCCGAGACTCTCAAGTTCAACATGGCACTTATATTGCTGCCCGTTTGTCGGAACACCATCACTTGGCTCAGGAACAAGACCAAGCTTGGCGTGGTCGTCCCATTTGATGATAATCTCAACTTCCACAAGGTATATACTTACATATATAACTATATATATATATATATATATTCATTGATGCTAACTTTGTCAATAAAGTAACTTTGTTTAGCACTGGGAGGAGTTATACTTAGACCCGAAAACGAAATTTTATGTTTCGTGTTTACAGACTATCGCGGTAGGGATAATAGTGGGAGTGATTCTTCACGCGAGCGCGCATCTGGCGTGTGATTTTCCACGGCTACTGAACGCGGATGAAGAAACGTACGAGCCGATGATAAAGTACTTTGGGGAGCAACCCGACAGTTATTGGTGGTTCGTGAAGGGAGTGGAAGGTGTGACCGGCATACTCATGGTGGTTCTAATGGCTATAGCCTTCACGTTGGCCACACCTTGGTTCCGTCGGAACAAGCTTAACTTGCCCAAGTTCCTCAAGAAGCTCACCGGCTTCAACGCCTTTTGGTACTCTCACCATTTGTTCGTCATCGTTTACGCTCTTCTCATCGTCCACGGTATCAAGCTCTATCTCACCAAGACATGGTATAACAAAACTGTAAGTTCTCTCTGGTTCTAGTTCCCACTTTACACTCAACTCAGAATTGCGGGTTATATATATCTGTGTTGTGACTCTTAATTTTGGACATGGATCATGAATTCAGACATGGATGTACTTGGCGATACCGCTACTGCTGTACTCGTGCGAGAGGCTAATCCGAGCTTTCAGGTCAAGCATCAAAGCGGTTAAGCTCCTCAAGGTTAGGAATCAATATCCGCAAAAGATATATCTTATGTTTCTTGCCGATCAAGATATGAACCCTAAACCCTAAATGGTAAACCTTGACAGATTGTGGTATATCCCGGGAATGTTCTTGCGCTTCACATGACGAAGCCAAACGGGTTCAAGTACAAGAGCGGACAGTACGTGTTCGTGAACTGCAGGGCGGTTTCTCCGTTCGAGTGGCATCCGTTCTCGATCACGTCAGCTCCCGGAGACGATCACCTCAGCGTCCACATCCGTACGCTCGGCGACTGGACGCGTCAGCTCAGAACCGTCTTCGCTGAGGTTTGTGATCATATTTTTTTAAAACAAAAAAATTGTTGTTGATTTTCAGAAAAAGAATCACTCTGTGAAATCCATATAGTTGAAAACCCAGGTTAGGTTTTGATACCATATTAAAAAAATCTAAAGAATATTTTTCTCGTATAATATTTATTAAGATGAAGAAATTTTCTCTTATAATATTCATAAAAATTACAAATAAATCCTAATCAAATCAAATTTGAAATAACCAAATTAAACCAAACGATGTATAAACCGATAATGTATTCTTATAAAATTCTTTGTATAACGAGATGTGGAAATGCGTTCACTCATTGTTCAGGCATGCCAGCCTCCGACCGCGGGGAAAAGCGGGCTGCTGAGAGCGGAAGGAGCGAGCAATATCGAGTCGCTGAAGATCAGAATTGACGGACCGTACGGAGCACCGGCGCAAGACTACAAGAAGTACGACGTCGTACTTCTTGTTGGGCTGGGAATCGGAGCCACGCCCATGATCAGCATTGTCAAGGACATCATCAACAACATGAAATCTTCTAACGACAACCAAATGGATCGAATGGAGAATCAAAATAACAACAACAGCAACAACAATGGGTTTAGGACAAAAAAAGCCTACTTCTATTGGGTCACGAGGGAACAAGGTATATATAACCCAAAAAAACGACGAAAACTTTAGGTTCTTATTAAATCTTATCCTTAATGACAAGAACATTCGAAAATAGAAATCTTGTATATATATATATACACACTCCTATACGTATAATAACAATAATATTTATAATACCGTATGTTTTTTTTATAATTATTATAGGATCGTTCGAGTGGTTCAAAGGGATAATGGACGAAGTGGCAGAAATGGACGAAGAAGGAGTGATAGAGCTCCACAATTACTGCACGAGCGTTTACGAGGAAGGTGACGCGAGATCTGCGCTGATCGCCATGTTACAGTCGCTGCAACACGCGAAGACAGGTGTCGACGTCGTGTCTGGGACACGTGTCAAGACCCACTTCGCCAAGCCCAATTGGCGGCAAGTTTACAAGAAGATCGCTCTTCATCATGCCGATAGCCGCGTCGGTAAGTTTCTCTGTACAGATATGATCCATATCGTTTAGATATTATGAAAACTTGGTACCAATTTATAATACGGCCATCTTTACGTAATATTTGCATTAAGATATGACATTATTTACAAAAAAAAATAAAAAATTTGATGGATGGTATTTTTGTTTTTGCAGGAGTATTCTACTGTGGGGCCCCGGCGCTAACAAAGGAACTGAGACATCTAGCTTTGGATTTCTCTCACAGAACATCAACTAAGTTTGATTTCCACAAAGAGAACTTCTAAAATCCACTGTCCCAACATCACAGGAGATCAGAGGAGTGGGATTCGGACAAGAAAATATCTTACGTGAGAATAATAAAAATGGAACCGCAAAATATATATTCTTTAAAATTTTGTTTATTAATATTCATTTGATTTGTATTCTTATTTAGTTTCTTTTTTTTTTCAAAGGTGAAGCGTATAGTGTAATAACTGCACAACTACGCGTTCCAACGTTATGTAGTAAAAACATGTAAAATATGCGAAATGTAGCATTTTTTTTGTCACTTCTAGTTATTGATGTCTTTATCGAATAGTTCTTTCACTGAAATGCACATATTAGAATCCATGGTCCGAATTATTGAATAGACTCTATAAACTTATCTGCAAGTCTAATAAAAAAATATTATATTATATCGGATAAAAACAGAATAAATTTACCAAAAACATATTATATTCTAGAAGAATGGCCAGGAAAATGCGATCCAGTAATCCACCAAACATAATTTTTATTGACACGAACAACCGCTATATAACGACTTTGAAGTGGAAACAGATTTTTGGATTAAAAAAGGTGGTTTGAATTACAAGAAACGACTTTGAAGTCAATTTTTCTTGTCTTGCACCACAATTTACATATTGCAATATTTAAAAACTCAATTTAAATTACGTTTGAACACATATTTGTTATTTGGGTCCAATAATTAATTTTTAATTTCTCTCCAATACAATGAACAAGAATGAAACGCCATTGACTCTCATTGCCACGAGAAAAATGGTAACGCGCGCAATCTCTTACCATGAATAAGTCACCATTGATATTAATATGCTACATTGTAGGCCCAACAAAGTAACGGACCTAAAAATATTCTAACTGCGGATAAAGTTAATTTTAACATGCGATAAACATAATTTACTGATGGATGGAGGTATTTTTATAAAATTTGGTTAAAACGTGATAATTTTTTAATCAACCAAATGAGGGCGCATATGTTCCCATTCATCTCTATGGAACTAGAAATTTCAATCAAGGAATCACAAAACAAAAGGTGACCAGGTAAAAAAGATTTCAAAAGAGAGACACTGCACCTGGTCTTAGAGAGCGAGGACTGGCGGTGAGCCGAGGCCAGGGCGAGGGCGAGTGCGAACCGAGATCCTAAATCGCACTCTTGTTCGTCCAATCACCCTTCGGCCTCGGCTCAACACAAATACCTAACTAAAACCCTAAATCCCTGATTTTCACTTTAAAACAAAACCCTAAGACATTACCTCCCTCGCTCCTAAGCTTTCTCTCGTCGCCTCCCTCACCCTCAAACCCCCTCTCTCTGCCTTCCTCGTCCCTTCTCAGCCTATGTCCTCTGCTTCGGGTACCCGCAAGACTAGGGTACTCGCCGACCAGAACACGAAGTCGAACCCAAAGGTCGGGGTGCTCACCGACAATGAACCCATACGCAATCACGTCGATGGATAACATAAACACCCAAGAATTCGGTTACCCATCTCGCAGATCGGGTGGGCATTCGCCATTTCGGGTGCCCTTGTCCACCACTAATAACAAGAACTAGAAGCACAACAAAGATGCAAAGATAGAAAAAAAGGGGTCCTGAAATTAAAATCCATGAATAATCCTCAAATTTCAACTCCTGTTCACTGGAAACAAATCAACAAAATCCTTGGGAGAAAAGGAAACAGGGGAGGAGAGGCATTTTGCCCGACCAGAGATCACCAGACTGTTGGAAGAGAGTTACTAACTAACCACTTCAACGGGTCTTGTTCTTTTTCTGCGTCTGGATCTGCGGGCGGGATGCTGCGCAAATCTTTTTCCAGCAACGGAAAGAAATGAGGAATGGAATCAAAACCCACCAGGCGTTAGCTCCAATGTAGTAAGAGTAATAGTAGAACGAGTCTGTAGCAAAGTTATCTCCTTCCAAAAGAGCAGTGATGAAGTAAACCAGACATCCGTAAAGCTGGCCGAGCGAAATGGCCAGCTGAAGAACGTAGCTGTAGGACTTTCCCTTCGCGATGGCGTAGCTATCAGATTCCGATACAATCGTTTTACCACATGGATTCACAAAAAGGAAGACAGAACAAGATTCTTTGATACCATGAAAGGGTTTCATAAAAACTTACACAGCTAAAAGAGAAGCCGGGCCTTCCAGAACGGCGGTTATCCCTTCCACAGCTACGACCGCAGGGTCCCTGCCCACGTACCGTGAATCGCCTTTGCTGTACTCTTTC